ATGATTTATAATAAGGTTATACTTATATAAGAAAATAATATGCTGTGTATTTGTGAATATAAAAATGTCAAACTATAAGAGGAATCATCTCCAGGGAGATACAAGTTGGGTTTCTTTATTCTTTTTTGATTGTATATGCTTTATTTTATGGGGGGTAGGGGGTATTGGAGATTGAACTCAGCAGTACTCAAGGGTATTTGGCCACTGAGCCACATCCCCACCCAGCCCTATTTAGAGACAGGGCCACACTGAGTTGCCTAGTGCCTCGCTTTTTGCTGAAGTTGGCTTTGAACTCGAGATCCTCCTGCCTCGGCCACCTGGGCTGCTGGGATTCTAGGCATGGGCCACCACACCTGGCTGATTACAGGTGCTTTTTAAAATAATCTATGTAGCCTCTGTACTGGGGGTGAGAAGTTAAGCACTTTTATTTTTTAAAAATATCATGAGGGCCAGAGTTGTGGCTCGGTGGTGGAGTGCTCCCTTCGCATGCCTGAGGCACTGGGTTCGATCCTCAGCATCACATTAAAAATATATATATAGATAAATAAAATAAGGATCTTGTGTCCATCTACAACTAAAAAGAAATTTTTTAAAAAATGTCATGGAGGGCTGTGGTGTAGCTCAGTGGTCAAGCACTTGCCTAGCATGTGTGAAGCACTGGTTTAAATCCTCAGCACCACATATAAATAAAGAACCATTGACAATTAAAATATGTTTTAAAAATTTATGTATATAAAATCATGGAGCCAGGCACAATGGTGCACATCTATAATCCCAGTAACTCTGGAAGCTGAGGTGGAAGGATCACAGGTTCAAGCCCAGACTCAGCAACTTAGCAAGACCTTATCTCAAAATATTAAAAGAAAGGCTGGGGATGTAGCTCAGTGGTAAAGCACCACTGTGTTCAATCCCCATTATCAAAATCAGTCAATCAATTATAGATGCGAAGCAACAAATCTGCACCCAAGGGAATTGAAAGTAGCTTGGGGTTAAGAATGTTACCAGGCACAGTGTGCACTCCTGTAATCCCAGCGTCTCAGGAGGCTGAGGCAGGAAGATCTCGGAGTTCAAAGCCAGCTTCAGCAATTTGAGAAGGCCTTAAGCAATTTAGTGAGACTCTGTCTCTAAATATTTTTTAAAAGGCGTGCGTAGGTGGCTCAGTGGTTAAGTGCCTCCTAGGTTCAATCCCTGGTACCATCCCCCTCCCCCAAATAAAAAAGAATGGCAAAAGCAAGCATGGAATTTAGGTCTGGGCCACTGTCCCCCACGTGGCCAGTAATTAGGTGTGTTCTTGGGTGCCCAGGATGAGAAGGGGCATCACAGTCTTCTCATGTGCACAGAAGTATGTCACCTCACTTCTTTGAGTGAACAGGCTCTCCTTTGGGCTCCTGTGGGCAGTAATTGCCCCACATGCCTAGAGGTTAGAAAGAATAATCCAGTCTCATTTCCATTCTCTCTAATGACTTCCTGATATTTGGCAACTGACCATGCCTTCGGCCATGGAAATTAGGCCTGGCTACCACAATGAAGTAGCATAGGGAGAGAAAACAGGGAAGAGACAATGTCCCAAAAGAGAAGGATTACCCTAATCCTGCCATTTGGGGCACCTCTGTGACAAATATGAAAATGTCTCGGGATGATTTCACTGGGTCCTCTTGTGACTGGAACTGCTGAGTCTCTGCCAAGGGCTGTGGCTGCTGACTCAGGCAGGGATCTGAAAGGCCTGAGGTGGCCTAGGGAGCATGCAGGCCTCTGTTGGCCCCCCACTGCTCTTCCCATCTATGTGGAAATATAGCCGTGGCATCGCTGGACACCCTGGCTTTACAGGTAGTCTTTTGTTGTTTTTTTAATGTGCAGAGAAATTTTAACATTGTGAAAGTCATAGAGCACATCTAGAGGTCACTCCTTTTCAACCTGTGGTCTCTCTAAGGATATTTGGTAGTTCCAAAAGGTCATGGGTCCAAGAATATTTTCTGGGCAATTCTTCCAGTGCCCCAAAAATTCTAATATTGATCCCATTCTGGTAGGTTAGGTGCATTTTATAAGAAACAAGCTGTGCTTCCTTTTCTCAAAGGAATGGATGATGCATCATGCATTAGCATCCCTACCCTGAGGGAAATTGTCCAGTGATGGAGCCTGTCCCCCAGCAAGGCCGGATGGACTGAGGCTGGTTGAATATATGGGGAAGACTGATCCACTCAGGCCATAACACAGTATGAAGTTCACTGAGGAAAGAGACTTTGAGTTTCACATGCTGGCCTAGATCTGCCTGAGGGTATAGAAAGAGGAAGACATCAGGGTAGGGTCAGACAGAGAGCAGCTTTCAAGAATGTTCAAGGAAGCCAGATGCTGTGGTGCATGGCTATAATCCCAGCCATTCTGGAGACTGAGGCTGGAGGATCACAAATTCAAGGCCAGGCTCAGCAACTAGGCAAGGCCCTGAGAAACTTGGTTTGATTCTGTCTCAAAATAAAAAAGGCTGGATGCCTGGCATGGTTGTACACACCTGTAATCCCAGTGGCTTTGGGAGGCTGAGGCAGGAGGATCTAAGATTCAAAGCCAGCTTTAGCAACTTAGCAAGGCTGTAAGCAACCTATAAGACTCTGTCTCAAAATAAAAAATAAAAGTGTAAATGAGTGGTATAGCTCTGCTGGGTTCAATCCCTTGTTAGAGGGAAGGAGAATCATCAGGTTTTGTCCTCATTACTTTTCCAGACCCAGTTCCTTCCCAGCCTCTCTCCTTGGGGTTTATCAGCCCTTTTCTGAACTCCCACACATTTAATTTTTTACTTAGTCATGGCTGTTTTTTCTTCTCTATTTTAATTAATGGTATATACTATCTCCTTTACTCAGTTAACGTGTGATAGTGAAATCTGAAAGCATAATGCAAATGTAAATGTCCATGTGGCCATTCCAATGCCTAGCCTTAGTTGAGCACCACCTTGTACCAGGCACAGACTAGGGCAGGTAGGAGCAGTGACAGGGGCATACTGGGATATAGGCCAACACTTGTGACTGCACTGAAGCATCCCCTTTCCTGAGTGAACAGGCTCTCTTTTGGGCTCCTGCGGGCAGTAATTGCCTCTGCATTCTTTGTTTTCCTATCTTTCCCTTTGATCTTACAGTCAGCTATTTTCTCTTCAATCTCCTTCCTATTTCCTTTTCCTTTGATGTCCAATTCCTGGGTGCTTCAGATTTTTTGTTATTGTTCTTAAGGAATACAGTAAGCAAAGATGAAAAGAATGTTAACTAGACTAAAATTAAATTAGAATTCTCTGGTCCTCCTAATAGAAGTACAAATGGCAGCCAGCTAGTACTTTGTGTTCTTGGCAACATAACATTAACCCACACCTGCCATAGTTTTCCTTTGAATTTCTGTCCATCACCGATCTCCCCACCTGCCCTTTGACTAGGGTCAGACACTTAATACAACTTGTTTGTGAGTCTGTTTGTAGGTTTTAAAATCAGTATGATTTTATGAAGAAAAAAAGGAGTTCCAGTGGCACAGTCAGCTCACAGTATTCATTAAAAAAAAACACCCTCATCACCTTAAGCATTGGATCCTTCCAAGGTCATTTTGCCACAAACTACACAGTGCAGGCACATCGTCCAGGTATCTTGTGAAAATGCAGATTCTGGCTGGGTAGGACCGTGTGTGGCTGGGATTCTGCTACTCTTCCCTGGACCACCCTTTGAGAGGCAAAGTGACAGCAAAGCTCCTTTCCAACTGTTGGTCCTCTTTCATTTAAAACAAATGCAGGGCTAGGGATATTGTTCAATTGGTAGAGCGTTTGCCTCACATGCTCAAGACTCTGGGTTCACTCCCCAGAACCATTCAAAAAAAAAAAGTAGTGGTAAAACAAATGCAGACTGGTTTAAGCCTTCATTCATTTTCACAGGTATTAAGTGCTAAAATTCTTAAATCCTCAGATTGAATTCTCCTATTTTATAAGCCTAAGGAATTCCTCACCAGGTAGAAAAGGTTCTTATAACACCATATGCCAAATCATCACTCTTCCCAAAAGAGGACAAGTGAGGATTAGGTAACTATTTTTTAAATATTATTTGTGATAAAGTTTAAATGTAAAGCCTCGCCGGGTGCGGTGGCACACACTGTCATCCCATACATTTATTTTTGACTTAGTTATAGCTGACTAAGTTGCCTTGAGATCTCTCTCTAGCTCAGTCCTCAGAAGGTAGATCTCAGCAGCTGGGGAGGCTGAGACAGGAGGATCTCGAGTTCAAAGCCAACCTCAGCAAAAAGCAAGGCACTAAGCAACTCAGACCCTGTCTCTAAATAAATTCAAAACAGGGCTGCGGATGTGGCTCAGTGATAAAGTGCCTCCTAGTTCAATCCCTAGCACAAAAAAAAAAAAAAAAAAAAGCTCTGTTTATAACCAATAGTGTTGGGGAATTTTGTTTTGTGTTTTTGTTGTTTTGTTTTTTTGCATGACTTGGGACAGAACCCAGAGTCTTGGTCATGCTGGGCAAGCTCTCTACCACTCAGCTATATCCCCAGCTCTTTTATTGTCATTTTTAAAAAAATATTGTTTTAGTTATAGATGGACACAATACCTTTATTTTTTACGTGGTGCTGAGGATCAGACTCAGTGCCTCACAATTGCTAGGCAGGTGTTCTACCACTGAGCCACAACCTAAGGCTTTTTATTGTCATTTTTGAGACAGAGTTTCAATAAGTCTCCCACGCTGGCCTCGAATTTGCAATCCTCCTGTCTTAGCCTGCCAGTCCTGGAGATTATAGGCTTGTACCACCTAATACCATTTTACACATGTAAATGAGACACATTTAGCTGGATGGAGAAATCACCAAATTCAGAAAAATGAGAACAACAAAAAAAAAACATCCCAGCCATTATTCAGAACAGACTAAGAATTTTACAAACTGGTCAATAAAAGAGAGTAATTCATAGACCTGGGAATGGGTCGAATAACCATCTAAAAGGACTAAGCATTCTTTCTATTTATTCCCATATCTTTTAGAGAAATCAACTTTTCAGTAATCGGTCAGTATGTGGATTATCTGGTGAAAGAACAAGGAGTGAAGAACATTTTTGGTAAGTCGCCTTGAGATCTCTCTCTAGCTCAGTCATCAGAAGGTAGATCTCACCTCATTACTGACCTATGACACAACCCAGTGAGGTCCCACTCATTGTGTTGTCATGCGTTCTGGTGGAGCCTAACTCAAAGCTGTGAATTTATAGTCTCTTCCTTAGACCTATAGGACCCCTCAACCAATGATCTCATTTGGTGGTGCCAAGTGATAGGGTGTTGCTCTCACTCCCATTGAGAGATGAAAATCTATGGCTCCATTATACTCTTTTGATGAAGTTATTCAACTAAGATGTGGGAAAATGGCAGCTAAGCCCTCTTAAGTCACAACTAAACCCTCTTAGCTCTCTTAAGAGTGGGCTTTGGTCCGTCTGCACCTGAGCTTTCAAATTACAAATGGAAGAAAGACTGCAAGCCGCAGCACACAAAAGATTCAACAGGAAGAGTGTTTATCCCCATTTATTTCAGAGTGAAGGTTAAAAAAAAAAAAAAAAAGTCAGGCCCTGTAAGCCTAAGAACTGTGTTTGGTGTTCTAGGCTCTCTGACCCATGACTAGGTTTCATTCTGAGGATACTATACTTGGGCCCTGGAGGCACCTCAGGTTAAAATTTGTGGGTAAAACTGAGCCAGGCCACATGTCAAACCAAGACCTGATTACAGAACCACTTAGTGTCCCCCTGCAGCTCCAAGTCACCCTCTTACTCAGAGGGCCCCAGGGCTGCCCTGGATGTAGGAATGGAGTAGGAGCATCCCTAGGACTGGAGCACACTTGAAGTACCTCAAGCCCCCAAGGGAGGGATAAAAACATTGTCTCCTCCCTCACCTGCCTGGCCTGCCCTATTCCAGCCCAGTGCTCAGAGCTTGGAGGTCAAGATCCAAAGTGCTGCCCTGCACACGAGGCCTCTCTCTCGCACACTACTGTGTTGGCTGTTCCTCTGATCATTGAGACATGATTGTATGGAAGGGGAAGAGGAAGGAGGATGAGTTCCAGAATCACACAGCTCTGGGTTCGAGTGTAAATTATTTCATGTTTCTGACCTCATATTTTCTACTGTAATTGAAAAGAATGTTGGCTTTGTTGGACTGTGAGAATAAGGGAATATTAAGTTCTTTGGTACAAAAGTTATTACCACCCCTTATGCTCACTGTCAGACCATGAACAGGTCACTTGGCACCCACAGCATGCAAATGCACCCGCATAGGCTCCCCACCCATGACCTGCCAATACTGGATAGAGTTGATTTTCCTGCCCTGTAAGCCCAGAGAGAGAACTGGGTGATGTGTTTGGAGATTGGCCTAAATGTGGGTAGTTATCTCCTCTACTTAAAATATTTGCCATCTGTCCCTGATAACAAGGACAGACATGTAATTGCAAGTCTCAGTTAATCTTCCCACTGCTTGGATAAAGTGAAGGGCAGAGAAACCTAGAGCCTGAAGTGGAAACTGGCACGTGGCATCTTCCCCTCCATCCTCTGATAGTTCAGTGTCCCTCCCCCTTGGGCAGGGATCTGTGACCCTGCACTTCTGTCCTTGGGGTTGGAGGAGCAGAAGGCAGGAGTTGGTCCCACTGAGTGACTCTTTGTTTGGAACAGTGAATGGCACTACTGGAGAAGGCCTGTCCCTGAGTGTCTCTGAACGCCGCCAGGTCGCAGAGGAGTGGGTGACACAAGGGAGGAACAAGTAAGTGGCTCCGTGGAGATAGAACATAGTATGCCAGCCAGACCTGTGCTGGCTGAGGCCCTCCCCAGAGACACTGCCTCCCCACTACCCATCAGAGATCAGAAGCCAGCTGGAGGTCAGCTGAGCAGGGGCCCAGGACATCCTGCACCTCAGCGAGGTGAGCCCTTCCTTTCTTGTGGAGACTGCATTCCTTTCTTGCCAGACTGCCTGGCAAAATACTGGAAAATGGCCTCTTGTCCTTGTCCTTGTAAGGCCAGTCCCCTCGGGACTACCTGTCCTTGGGTTGAAGGGTTAAGTAGATAAGAGGGTGGTGACTGACAGCTGGCTGCCCAGCTCTGGTGCTGAACAGTTCATGTCCCTTTCCGTCTCAGGGAGGGAGCCTCCTGCTGGTGAGGGCTGGGGATGCGGCTCAGTAGTGGAGAACTTACCTAGCAAGTGTGAGGCCCTGGGTTCAATCCCCAGCGCTGCAAAAAAGGGGAAAAAAAAAGAAAAAAAAAAAAAACTCATGAGGGCAGAACAGCCTGTCAGCCCTCCTTCCTCCACTTTGAAGTCTTACTATTCTTTTGAAATGCAAACCTGATCATGTCACTTCCCAGCAAGGCCCCAGGATTCAGCAAGCCACGGATCACCAGAGGATTCAGTGATGGAATTCACAACCAAGCTTTGCTAATCCTGCCCACAGAAGACCAGTCTCACTGTTGCTGTTCCCCCAGGGTCACGTGGAGCACCCCCAAAGATGAATATTGGGATCTCAGAGCAAACATCTCTTCTGGTCAAATTCTGAGGCTTAAATGATAAGAAACAGCTTTTTACAGTGAATTCATTGCTCGTTAGACTAATTCCTAGTTATGATCTTGGAAGAACCTCTTCATCTTTATCTCCAAACAAAAATACGTCAATATTTTGCCTATCATCTTCCTTATGACACTGTCAAATACAGGGCTATGCTTGATCAAAATAAGTCCTCAAGTATTGATTAATCAGTTATTAATTCTCAAAATTTCACTGCATGGCTAACCCTTAAATTTTATTCCCTGGACATTTTTTTAAATTCCTTAGACTCCTGTCTTTACTATTTTCCCAATTTTTATAGTATTTGAGAGCTCTGTTCACCACAGAGCTGCATCCATGGCCTTTTTTATTTTTTAATTTTGAGACAGGGTCTCACCAAGTTGCTGAGGCCACCTCAAACTTATGGTCCTCTTACCTCAGCCTCCCGAGTTTCTGGGTTACAGGCCTGCACCCCCACACCAGGTCCAGGGCTGTATTCTTAAGGCCTTACAGTGGTAACTGATGTCAATAGACACTTCCCCTTCCTCCCCCTTACTGTCACTTTTATCCTCTTAGTTCAGAGTTACTATTTCTGGATGTTGGCATATCACCCTGAATGGTTTTAACTACAGTATCTTTGCATGAGATTCCCCTTTCATTCTTGGGGAATGTTCTTTGGCAGAGAGGAAGCCGAGAGGTCAAAGCTATTGTCTAGTAAGGTGGCAGTTTGAAGTTGAGGCTTCCTTTGTGTGCCAAGGGAGGATGGGGGATTAGCTCCCTGTCTCTCAGCACTGAGATTGAGGTCAGCCTTCCCTTTTCCTTTGGGAGGATGGTTCTTTTTCCCTGTAGTTGGCCTCATTTTTTCCACTTTTAATACCAATCAAAAGTCTCTCTTTTGTTCTTTTCCCCTTTAAAACCAATAGAAAATGTTTTAAAGGGGAAATGAAACATTTCTTGGCCTCCTCAGCACTTGGTTCAGTAAAGTCATAGAAACTCTCTGAACAGAGCTCGTTAGTCTATAGCTAAGTGCTATTAAGTGCCTCTTGTCAGATAGAGATACAGTAAAATTATCCCACCAACTTGGAGTCTCAGTCTTAAAATTAATTAATTTTTTTCTTTATTTATTGTTTTATGTGGTCCTGAACCCAGGCTTTGCACATGCTAGGCAAGTATTCTACCTCTGAGGTATGCCCCTAGCCCCCTAGTCTGGAACTTTTTAATTCTGTTTTTCTTATCTATAAAGTGAGCCTACACACCAACCTTTTCTACTTGTGGTTTGTTGAAAGGATCAAGTGTAGGGGAACAGGGGCTGAGAATATAGCTCAGTTGGTAGAGTGCATGCCTCATAGGCACAAAGCCCTGGGTTCAGTCCCCAGCATTGAAAAAAAAACAAGTATAGAGGAACAACTTTAAAATCTATTGTTGCTTTGTGTGTTAGTCAGCTTTCTGTCACTATGACCAAATACCTGAGAAATATCAACTTAAGGGACAAAAGATCTATTTTGGCTCAGAGTTTTAGCAATTTCAGTCCATTGTCATCTGGCTTCATTGCTTCTGGGCCCATGGTGATATAGGACATTTTGGCCAGAAGCATACAGTGGAGCAAATCCGCTCACCTCATCACAGGCAGGAGGCCTTGAGAAATCAAGGGGCCAGGGACAAGGTATGTGACCTGCTTCCTGTAGGAGACCCCACCTCCTACAGATTCCACCACATCCCAGTGGTCCCATAGTTTACCTCTACCAGGCATCCCAAGGAACCCATCAGTAGACTAATCCATTGATGAGCTCAGAGCCCTCATGACCCAATCACTTCCCAACAGCCTCACCTCTGAACATTGCTGCATTGGGCACCAAGCCTCTATCATGTGAGACTTTGGGGACATTCCAGATCTAAACTATAACACCTTGAAGAAGCTATTAGAAGCTGTTAGGCTTTTGGTAGACTAAGCTCTGGGGTGTCTGGGATGCTGATCACGAGTTCTTTGTGCCTGCCTAGCAGAGCCTGTATTGTTTACCACAGGCCCTTTTCTGGATGTTTCTATTCTGTCCTTGCTGTGAAGCTCTTGACTAGGAAAGCATTCTGTTTCCAGGTGTCTTGAGTGAAGTGTGAGTTAGTTTAGATGGCCTTTCTATCCTGAGAGAACTGCTTTGCTATCGTTGGTCTTGATGTACAAAAATTCTCTTTTTAATTACACTTAATAGGTAGCTTAAAACTGCCAGTATACAGAAAACTTAAACATTGCCAGGTGCTTCGGATTAGATAGAATCAATAGCAGTATCTAATGAGCTTTCATAAAATGGGAAGAAAGGGACAATTTAAAATAACTTTAATAGTGGCCAGCTTATTTACTGAGGACAAAAAGAGATACATTCTTGCCTCGTTTTTATAAATACCAAGTTAAAAGCTCTGTAACCTTTTAGTGCTTACACTTTGTAATGCAGTTGATACTTTCTAATTTTATTATGATTTTTGTATTAAATATTTTTTATTTAAAAAAAGATCATCATAATGGCTCTAGAGGCTGACTGAGGCAGGAGAATCACGAGTTCAAAGCCAGTCTCAGCAACTTAGCAAGGACCTAAGCAATTTAGCAAGACCGTAACTCAAAAATATATATTAAAAAAAAGGAGGATGTGGCTCAGTGATTAAGCGCTAGATCACTGTAGAATTTTAATAGTCTTGCTATTGAGACTAGTAAAGCCATTAACTAACTGCTAAAACTAGCACAAACCAGATTGGTGGAACCCTCTGTGTTCTTCTAAACTTCAAATAACTCATCAATGTTTTCTTCCTTGCAGGCTGGATCAGGTGGTGATTCACGTGGGGGCACTGAGTTTGAAGGAGTCCCAAGAACTGGTATGTATGCTGTTCCACTTTGGAGAGACCACTCAAGGGACCTCCATTTTTATGATGAAATTACTTGCAGTACTATATGTGGTATATGGTACGTAGTGGCTGCTGTGCTGGAAGAGATAGATGTGGCACCTTAGGAAGCCACCATTGAGAAGCAGGCTCTGTGTAGTATAAAGTGACCATACACAGCTCTCTTACAATATGGAGGGTTTAGGAACTCTACTTGAGATAGATTAAAAATATCACAAAGGCCCAGTAAGAGAAATTTGATGAAGCATTAGAAGCTTAGTGCAATGTATCTTTTGTGGTATGTATAATCTTTTTCTTTTAACTTTCTCAACTGTACTCTCAATTTGTAATATAAATATTAAACTGTGACTGCCATGCCATTAGATGGGAAAGATAATATGATACAGTAGGCTGACCAGTAGAGATTACATACCCAAATTTCTCTGTTAACAGTTATAATAAACTACTCATGTCTCCTCAGCAAGGGGTTTTGTACTGAAAAAATCCAAATATTTGTAAGATTAAATACCCAGCTTACCTCTACTTTGCATCCTAGGATTTTCCTAGCAATGACATTTTCATTATATTCAATCATTTTTTCCACTCTCTACTGGTGCATTAGTTGGCAAATTTGAAGAATTTGTTGCTGAACTCTAATATCTAAGCTGTAGGTGTCCGTGATAAATCACTGATGGTCACTAGTATGATCTCTCGTTACAAAGGCCCAGCATGCAGCAGAAATTGGAGCTGATGGCATTGCTGTCATTGCACCTTTCTTTTTCAAACCGTGGAACAAGGGTAAGTAGATGGCTCTGAATGTGCGGTGCCTTTCGCTGTCTACTCCTTGCTTCCATTCAGAAAGACTGTGTTTAAACTCATGAAGGTCAAGTGCCACAGACTGGAGATGGGAGTGGTACAGTGATTCTCTGGAATGTTTTCTACCCCTAGATCCACAGCAGAGATTGTATTAAAGTACTTCAGTTGTTTCACCAAGTAATCTGATTGAGTTGTCTACTGAGCCTCAGTTGGTACGTGCCTATGTTTGGGTCAGGTGTCCACTTCTGCCTTAGACAGTAGCCTAGGGTGTCAGACCCAGGGTAATGTATGGGACTGTTTTTCTCAAGAGAGAAGCATTCTAGTGATGGGCATTTTGATTTTTACTAGAATTTGTCTTTTCAGTCTCTTAAGCATGGGTAACTTTGCACTAATATTTTGCTCCGTGTGTGTGTGTGTGTGTGTGTGTGTGAGAGAGTGTGCGCGCACGCGCGCACACACACTCATGCTCTGGGAATCAATCCCATGCTAGGTATGCACTCTGTTGCTGAGCTACACCTCCAGCCCCAATTTTTTAATAGTTGTTCACTATGTATAGGAAGAAAATAATCATCTTATTTGAGCCTTTCTTCAAAGAGGAAAATAAAACTTTGAATGGATTGAGGTGTTAAGATACTGCAGTAGCAATGTCAGAAAAGCTAAGAGTGATCAGGACTGCTCAGCTTCTGTGAAGGAAGGTTGTGTCCATCAGATGATTTTTTTTTTTCTTTTTTTTTTTTTGGCCAGGGAAAGCCACTATTTTCCATTTGTTCACGCCATGACTTTTCCTCCTGTACTTTCAGATGTCCTGATTAATTTTCTAAAAGAGGTGGCAGCGTCTGCCCCTGCATTGCCATTCTATTACTATCACATTCCTGCCTTGACGGGGGTAAAGAGTAAGTACTGGTTCTCTTGACGCTTCCTCCAACCCTTACCCCAAGAAAGCCCCACTCCATCCCACGCTACCCATAAGCACCATTGATGAGGCTAGCTCCAGTTACTCCAAAGTGAGTCCCTCTAATACCCAGCCCTTTGCCATCATTCACACCACCTCATGGTGCCAGTTCTTAGGCATGAAAGAGGGACTGACCTCTCAGCCCTTTACAGCAAACACCTCTTTCTTCTCATATGAGAAGATCCAAGACCAAAAGCCCCACAAGGGCAGGACTGCGTCTACCTTCTACCTCCTGCACTCTCAGTGCCTCCCCAGAGCCAAGGTACTGTATTCTATTCTGAATTTTCTTCTAGTTTTCTTTCATTTCTACTGTTCTTCTCCAGGGAGAAGACTTTTACAATTAGATGAAATTTATTAGGAGATTGGTTTTTAAAAGCCCCTCCTTTTCCAAGTTCCACAAAAGAAAAATGGAAGGCTATGCATTATAAACATTCAGAGGAAATAAACAGTTTTTCCCATACTTTCCTCTCACACTCATCACATACTACCAAACATGTCACCTCTGGTCACCAACATGGAATGGGATGGGGTCACGGATTTCTCCCTACCAACAGCAGGTTCTCCACTGGAGACTAACTGGGTATCTAGTAGTTTAATTATATTCTGTCACTGTCTGCCTCATGTTAGCATCAGATCCCACGGGCTCAGTCCCATAACTGTCCCCACTTCATATGCCAGCTCAGGCTCAGGTCCCAGCTTGTGACCTGTGATTCTGATCAACTGGTAATAAGTTGGGGTTCCCACAACTCCCTCCTCATGTGTGATTAATTTGCTAGTGCAACTCATAGAACTCGGGGAAACTCTTTACCTATTCTTATCTACTTACTACAAAGGGACTTACAAAGGATACAGATGAAGAGATGCATAGGATAAGGCATGTGGGAAGGGTAGGCAAAAGTTCATGTCCTCTCTGGGAGTGCCATCCACCAGGAACCTCCACACGTTCTGCTATTCAGAAGCTGTCTAAACCTTGTCCTTTGGCTTTATTAGGTAGACATGCTTGATTACGTTATTGACCATTGGTGTTCAGTTCAACCTTCCACCCCATCCCCTACCCAGAGGTTAAGGATGAAAGTCCCAACCCTGTAATCACATGGTCGTCAACCAACATGCATCCAGAGTCTAAGAACCCATCAGGAGTCAACTGCTTAAAACACAAATGCTCCTATCAGCCAGAAAATTCTAAGGGATGTAAAAATGGTCAGATGCACCTATCACTCAGGAAATTCCAAACATCTTATCAGCTACATGTAAGAAACCAAGGTCAAAAACCAAATATAAGAACAATAGCTCCTCCTAACACCTCTGTCTACAAAGGTTTCAGGAGCTCTGTTGCAGGAATTGGGAGCAGAAACCAAATATGTATTGACAATGTCACAAATATCCATCGACTGCCCTCAAGGAATGGAAAGCTAAATATTATAATTTGAAAGGTACCTAGGAGCTACTAGACAGAGGCAAGCCTTTATGCCATCTACAGCCAGTCCAGCTGACAGCAGCCAGTGGCAGCTCAGGGCTGATGTAGATCTCTAGGAAATGTTTGATATTTTCTGAGGCTGTGTAGACTAAGGAGGTATTTATTGTTTTGAGCAGTTCGTGCAGAGGAATTGTTGGATGGGATTCAGGATAAGATCCCCACCTTCCAAGGGCTGAAATTCAGTGACACAGATCTCTTAGACTTCGGCCAGTGTGTTGATCAGAATCACCAACGACAGTTTTCTTTGCTCTTTGGGGTGGATGAGGTAAGTCACCCCTGACACAGCAAGTCGGTTTCCCTCCAGTTCAGGTAATGATTGCTATACTCGAGTTTCTCTTCTCTTTTTCCTAAAAGTGAATTCTCTTTGTCTATTTCTCATTAGCAACTGTTGAGTGGTCTGGTGATGGGAGCAACTGGAGCAGTGGGCAGGTAAGCATGACTCATTTGTCTCAGCCCATTATACATTTAAAGTCCCACAGGAAGGCACTCATCACTGGAGTAGTTTTATTTCTTTCATACACATCCTTTCTAATAGAAGTTACCTTTTGTTCCCATGTTTGTTCAGGGAAAGGGAATTAAGTAGGGCTCAGCAGTTGGTTAGAAACGAGGTCATCCTTACATAGAAGCTTCCATTGCAGTTAGAGGTGAGACACATGAGCTCGTGGGTTCAGCCCTTAGTGCTGCAGACCCTGATGATCAGTGTCTCAAGGATGTACTTACATTGTCTGTGTCAGAAACTTAATTATAAATAACAGAAACCCACTCAAACTACCTTAGATTTAAAAAAAAAAAAAAAAAAAAGGAAAGTTACTATAAAATAATGATAGATTACATAAAACCATGAGGAGGAACAACCAGACCCTAGAGAGGAACCAGGAACTGCAGAGTTGTCAACAGCCAAGGCAAGTCATCCTGCATCTGGGTTCTTCCCAAGACCCTCACTCTGCCTCCTTTCCACCTCTTTATTTCTCTTCTCATTCTCTCTCCAGGTGGGCTTTCTTTCTTTTTTTTTTTTTTTTTTTTTAAGAGAGAGAATTTTTTTTTAATATTTATTTATTTTTTAGTTCTCGGCAGACACAACATCTTTGTTTGTATGTGGTGCTGAGGATCGAACCCGGGCCGCACGCATGCCAGGCGAGCGCGCTACCGCTTGAGCCAAATCCCCAGCCCTGGGATTTGGTCTCTTTAAGGGTCACAAAAATCCTTCTCTTGAGGGTAATTCTTGCTCTTATGTGCACTTTGGGGCCTGCATTTCTTCTGCAGATAACAGGGAATTTTTTTGCTAAGGAATGTAACATATCCTGTGGACTTACACCAGGCAGGGCTGCAGGCAAATGCTTTTTGAAAGTGAAAACCTGGGGGCTGGAGCTGGGGCTCAGCGGTAGCACACTTGCCTGGCACATGTGAGGCACTGGGTTCGATTCTCAGCACCGCATATAAGTAACTTAAAAAATAATAACAAAGGTCTATCAACAACTAAAAAATAATTTTAAAAAAACCTGTGGGGCTCAGCACTGTGGGCCCATTTTGTAGATTGATTCCCTTACCCTCCTGTTCCTACCACTTCCGCAGCAACTAGGCAGTCCTTTTTTGAGCAAAATAGAAACCAGAATTACCTTCCAGAGCTCTGAGAGGACTAAATCTGATTTGTGTGAAGCCCCTGGAATATGATAGGCATTTAACAAATGGTCCTTCACTTTATATCCTCTACCCTCTGGAATCCTGTCTCCAAATTAACATAATGTAAGTGGGAGAGGAATTTAGATACTTTATTGGGATTTGCCTGTCTTACTGTGGCACTCCACACACCCAGCTCTCAGCAGATGGCTTTTAGGACTCTTCCCAGGTGCTACATTTTGTCCACCGTTTCCTAGCATTTCCCCCTGCATGTGCCCTTAGGGCAGGCAGGTGTTAGCCTTAATCATTTCCAACCAAGTACACCTCCAGCTTTTACATTCTGTTGTTCTGTTTTTCCTGATTTCAACCTTTCTCTGTTTTTTCTTTGTCCCTTTTGGTGTTCTCTGCCTTCTCTGAGGACACTGCTTTATGTTGCTAGAGGGCTCAGAACTAAAGACAACCTGGTCCCCTATAGATTAGGACCTAAAATAGACTTATGGGCAGTCTGGGTTTTTTTGTTTTGTTTTTGTATTGTTTTCCCCCTTTTTAAACAGCAGTGGTGAAGATCTGTACCTTTCCAGTTGAGTTATTGACCCTGCAGTATTTGCTGTTGTCTTGCCAGCACCTATAACTACCTAGGAAAAAAGACAAACCAGATGCTGGAGGCTTTTGAGAGGAAGGACTTCTCTTCAGCTCTGAACTATCAGGTAAACCATTTATTGATTGATTTTATTGGTTCATATTAATTATACAGAAGAGTTAGTTCCAGACTTTTTCTTTGCTTCATATAAACTCACAGCCTTTCCTACACGAGGGTCTTTTATCTTCTCCCTCATCAGCATTCCTGGCACACCTGCCCCCATCGAAACCACCTCACTCCCTTTTGCTTCACTTGTTTCAAACAGAACCTGTCCCCATTGTCCCTGTCTGATCAAGGCAGGCTTCACAGGGAATGACTCTTCTCTTCCTTTTGGAAAGGATCTTATTTTTACTCTATCTTCAAAGTAGTTTTGTGATTATAAAAAAAATGGTCATAGATTTCTGGGGAAATGGACCACATGCAGCCCCCTTCAGGACTCATTTGAGTCATCAGAGAATAGGAGGAAGCTATGAAGCTGGGAACCTAAAACTGGGAAGGCTTAAACCAAAGGCGGGCAGGTCAGCACCTTGGAAATGTGCCCAGATAGAAAACAGCCACCAGGCAGGAAACCTCATGGGGAGCCACAGGGAGACACTTTGAAACAGGAAGAGAAAGCAGCTGTGTGATGTGTTACAGAGAAAGCCCTGGAGACAATAATGGCGGCTGTGAATGCTGCACAGAGGACAGCCCAGCTGTCCAGGGAAAGAAGAGCATCACTGAAGGGCAGAACCCATGGAGACATAAGTGGAGAGTGGGTGCACTGTTGGTAAACGGGATGAAGAGGAAAGCAGCAGGGGCTGGGGATGTGGCTCAAGTGGTAGCGCGCTCGCCTGGCATGCGTGCGGCCCGGGTTCGATCCTCAGCACCACATACAAACAAAGATGTTGTGTCCGCCGATAACTAAAAAATAAATATTAAAAAATTCTCTCTCTCTCAGAGGAAGAAACAGGGTGGGGCCTGGAGACATGGGGTTTTCAGCATAGCATTCAGTGCTGAGAGGAGCAGCCAGAGAAAATAAGTGACAGTGAAGGAGAATAAGCAAAGGCAGAACAAGTGGATTCTCCTCATAAAGCTCAGTTGAGGGATCTGTTTGAAAGGACAGGCCACCATCAGGGTAATTAGAGATTACTTAGCTAAAGTACAAATATTCTAGCAGCTAGGGTAATCTGCAGCTCCAACCTGAGGAGAACAAGAGCAATCAGTACCAAGGAGTGCTTGATTCTTCTCCACCCTTAGGCCTCCAAATTGGGCCAGCATAAATCTACTTCCTTCTTACAGTTTAAATAGTTTAATATTTACCTATGATCCAGACTAGGTGAAGCTAACAGCAGAAACTACGTAGGACACAAGAAGCTGTGTCATCTAACTAATCATGCCACGACTTTGGTTTAAAATAGGGTTCAAAATCTGCCATCTCTTTGTTTTCTTTTTCTTTTTTTTCTTTAGTTCCATAGAAGTTATTTATGAAAATTCCAGCCTGTTCTGAGCCAAATGAAAGGGAAACCATAAATGGAGCAAACTGTGAGGCAGCTGTGTAACTGACCCTGCACTCAAGCTTCTCTTGTGGCTGACTCAGTTTCTATCTTTTTGTCCCTTTAGTCCCTAATCAAATAAATCATCCCATTCAAAGCAGTGTTAGGGCAAGGTACAGTGGCTCACACCTGTAATCCCAGGGGCTCAGGAGGCTGAGTCAGGAGGATCAGTAGTTCAAAGCCAGCCTCGACAACTTAACAAGGCCTTAAGCAACTCAGGGAGACCCTATCTCTAAATAAAGTATATTTAAAAAGAGGACTGGGGGTGTTGGGGCTGTACCTCAGTGGTAGTGTAATTATCTGGCATGTGTGAGGCACTGGGTTCGATTCTCAGCACCACATTTAAAAAAAAAAAAAAAAGGTCTACCAACTAAAAAATAAAACTAAAAAATTTTTTTTAAAGTGGGGTGGCTGGGGATGTGGCTCAGCACCCCTGGAGTCAATACCCTGTACAAAAAGAAAGAAAAAGCAGTGTTAGTAGGAATTCAGTTTAGCACATTCTCTGCTTCTTACTGAAGGCAAGTGTGATGGGGTAAATTTACTCATTTACTCATATGCCAGGGACTGAGCTAGCATTTCGATGATTTATGCCAGATGCAGAATTTCAATAAGGCTGGTTATAGCCCTCCAAGAGCTTACACTTAATATACCCAATTTAAGCAATGGAATTATGTGCAGCCCTTTCAGAGAATGAGATATAGGCGGACATGGTGATCTGTAATCCCAGCTACATGGAAGGCTAAGGCAGGAGGTTTGAAAGTTTGAGGCTAACTTCAGCAATTTAGTGAGACCCTGTAGCACATTTAAAAATCGAAAGGACTGCTGGGGATGTAATTCAATGGTAGAGCATTTGCCAAGCATGCATGAGGCCCTGGGTTTAGTCCCCAAGAACTGCTAAAAAAAAAGGAAAAGGAAAACCCTCTGATTCTCAAGAAAACTTATTATCCATTAATCAGAAGAATTGGATTATCACTCTCCTTATCAATATCAATACTTTTTTTTTTTTTTGGTGAGGGGAGGGGACTACTTCCCTAGCTCTTTTTATTTTTTATTTTGAGACAGGGTCTCACTAAATTGCCAGAGCTGGCCTTGAACTTGTGATCCTCCTGTCTCGGCCTCCCAAGCCACTGGGATAACAGGTGTGTGCCACCGTGCCCAGCTTAATCTATTTTAGAATACAGTACTTCTAGCGGTTGAATAACTAGAAGTTAATTCTCATAAAACCATAGTAGTGGTCCACTTTATGCTTTGAAGACAGTCCTTGCTTCCCTGCCACTGTGACTTATTTTTAAAAGGATATGATTCTTTCTCTTCCTCTCTCCCTCCTTCTCCCTAATCTCTCCCTCTCCCTAATCCCAGGAGAACAGGATTACCTTTCTTCCAGAGTTGTCTGTCCTTGAACATACAACCACCACAGGAAAAAAAGTAATTCAGACTTTGGGGATGGCACAGAAGATCTCAGAAATTATGTCTCCCAAATTAACAAGTGAATTACAACTGCAACAGAGAACTTGCAGAATGCAGCCTTTGAATCACCACTTTAAAAACCCCCTGTTCCCCTGGATGGGCAGAATCATAACCTCTGGGACAGTAATCTCCTGTGCTTCCCCTTTGTTAGCAAAGCAATAAAACTCTTTTCCTTTTTCTCAAAACTGGGTCCTTGTTATTGGATTGGCATCAGCTGCAAGGACTGAGCTTTCTGTAACAAGACAGCCTTGTCCAAGCACCTCTTGGTTCTCTTGAAGGTACTCGGAGGTATGTGTACCACAACTTAAAAAACACTACACTAGCTGCTAAATTTTCCTCATAAACTGATGGATAAGGGATGTATTCCCATCTTACCACCTGTAACATTCTACAGTTTTCACTTTTTTCTGCATGGGCCTATTCTATAAATTTGTATGCATGAAAAGATCCTACCTTATCCTGGGTGGATCTCAACTGTCTGTCTCTGTTTCTTCCAACTATGATAGGCCTTCAGAAAACTTAGATGTGCACACTTTTTAAAATTTCTATAATTTGCTAAATTCCTTCAGTTGATTTTGGAAGGAAATGAAAGAGAATACAAAAAGAAAAAGAAATGGAGACACACCTCAACTGACCAGGGATGCTTTATTAAGCAACAGAGGGGCACATTTTCAAGGGGAAAATGGCAACTGGCTACAAGGATCTGAGTTTTATAGGGTTTAGCAGGGCCACATCGTGGGAGCAGTTTGTCAGATACTTTTAGCAGGCTTACTTTTAGCAGGCTGGGGAACTTGACAGATGAGGGAAATTGTCCTCAGTTTCCCTTTTTCCCTGAGGGGTTGTAAGTTTCCACCTCCTTCAGCTTTCACAGTTCACTAATGTTGATTATAGATTTGTTTATTCCCTTCTAGTTTTGCATCCAGAGATTTATCAACTTTGTGGTCAAGCTAGGTAAGTGCCACATCTGTTTCCTGCCTTGTCTGTTGTTGGCGAGTGTTAAAGGGAACAGACTCTCCTCACTTTCTCTGAGGGTTCAACAAGAGCACTGTTGACTGCTCTGTCACAAGCTGGGTTCTGTTTTTAATACTACCCTCCAGGGCCAACCATATAAAACAGTTCAGTAACCCTGATTGGGAGGTCTTTGATAGTCTTCTACAAATCTTTCTCCTCCAGTTTAGCATGTTGCTCCCCACACCATATGCGCTGCACTTTCTCTACCTTCTCTCCCAACAGTCAACATTTGCCTCTGCTCATTAAAATTCTGCTCCTGAACTGTGGCTGACTTCAGCCTAAGTACTTGGGGAAGGCCGTCTGAATACAGATTTTACTAAATTGTGAATGACAGCTCTCCCAAGAGCATTTGAAATTTAAAAAGAGTTTATTAAAACAGATAAGCCTGGGCTGGGGATATAGCTCAATTGGTAGGGTGCTTGCCTTGAATGCACAAAGCCCTGGGTTCCATCCCCAGCACCAAAAAAAAAGAAGAAAAAGAAAACCCCCAAACACAGGTAAGCTTAAATGGATGAAGGTTTGGATAATATGACAAAATAAAATTGGGGGGAGAGGGGATACAGTGAATCTGAGCAGAGGAAGCTCTCCAGAGTGTCTTAAATGATGTCCCACAACAAATGATAAATGCTACCATTCACTCATTCTCTGCGAGAGACTGGCCCTTGGGCCAAATGAACCTGGGTCAAGTCCAGGAAGAGTTTCTGGTGTTTTCTTGGCAGACCTCCCATTTCCCAGTGCAGAGCCTTTCTGCCTCACCCTGGAAACTTCCCTCTCCCCAGGCACCTATTATGTATCCAGCCCCTCCTTCCCAAAGGTTCTCAACTAGCTCTCTTAATCCTTCCAAGACAATGTTTCCATTTGCATTTGTACTGTCATGACTTTTGTCATATTTGAGTGCTGCCCATGCTATTAATTACCTATTTTAATTCCCTTGTCCTGGACAATACTTTTCACAAAATTGTGGATTGACATAATAGTTATATGTTCCTATAAAGTACATTAAAATTGATACTGAAAGGTTAAAAAATAACTAGAAGTTTACCTGTATGCCACATAAGATCATCTTACTTACCATCTATGTTACTGCAACAGTTTTGTAAAACGTGAATCTAAGATATTAACAGAAAGGATTTACTTGTTTGTCTGAATCTTTGCATTTTAAAGGTGGAGGAGCTCTTGAAAATAGTTTTCATGACCTAAAAAACATATCTTTAAAAAGCTCCCCAAGCACAGTGGCCCATGAGGCAGGAGGATCCCAACTTCAAAGTCAGCCTCAGCAAAAGTGAGGGGCTAAGCAACTTGGTGAGACCCTGTCTCTAAATAAAATACAAAATAGGGCTGGGGATGTGGCTCAGTGGTCAAGTGTCCCTGAGTTCGATCCCTGTTATTTACTTACTTACATACATACATACATACATACATACATAAAATAAAAATAATAAAACGATCTTTTCAGACTTCATGGGAGTTGAGGTTTTCATGACTTGGTCAAAGGAAGACTTATTAAAGAAACTTGTCTTAACATGAAGACAGCTCCTTGCTCTACCTACTCATAGTAAGTCTGGAAGTCCATTTTGCATCTGCCAAAGTTTATTCCATATGTTTAATCCTGCTAAGTAATTTCCTTCCCAATGCTCAGTTGTTATTTTAACTAAGTTCACTTAATAAAAGGAAGTTACTTCTTATAGCTTGAAACCATAACAATAGGCAGCTAAGAAAACAAGTGATATTTTAGAAGACAGGGATTAGGGATTATGACACAAGATTATTGTGTTTTTGCATACTAACAGGGCACCCACTTCACCTGCTTCTTCAGCCTGAAGGCTTTGTCTTTCCTCAGTTCTGAAAAAGTCCCTATTATCAGCTGTGAATATTGTCTTGACTGCATTCACTGAAGACTGTCATTCTGAAAATGTATTAGATGGATTTTGGGTCTTCTCAAATCTGTGCTTTAATTTAAAAAAATATTTAACATGTCTTTCTGTGCTATATTCTGAATTTCCTTAGACTTGCCTTCTTAAAAAAATCACCAATTTTTTTCCTTAGCTATGTTTTCTACTGTTTAATTTCCCTGAACAAACAGTATGCATTTTATTTCCAGTATTTTCTTTTTGGCATTTTTTCAAGTACACCTGGCTTTGTTTGTTTTTGTGCTACTGGGAATTGAACCCAGGGCCACACAGATGCTTGGCAAGCACCCTACCACTGAGCTACATACCACTGAGCTGAGCTACATACCACTGAGCTGAGCTACTTGAGAGGTTGAGGCAGAAGGATTGCAAGTTTGAGGACAATCTCAACAACTTAGTGAGAACCTATCTCAAAATAAAAAATAAAAAGAGCTGGGTATCTCAGTTAAATCTGCTATACCACACACACACAAAAAAAAATCACACCAGTATATACCTTAAGTCAGATTATCCTCAAGGGCTATTTGGTTTCAGATCTTTCTTATCCTTATGATTGTATTCCTGATAGCTTTGGATCCTCCTCCTTTGCTTGCAAAGGTTGACTTTGAGCCTTACTTTGTTTTATAGTTTGTTAACATTTTCTAGTATTCCTGTGTGTGTGCAACAGGAAAAGTCCTTTCTTTGTCTACCCAGTCAAGGTGACAGTATTGACAAGAAATGTGCCTTTTACTTGCATCTTATCCTACTGTAGAAGTCATTGTTGGCATAAGATCTCTTCTTTGGGATGTTTTTGTGGATGTGGACAGTGCCAGATATGTTTCCTCATTTATTTTTCTTGTCTAGGTTTTGGAGTATCTCAGACCAAAGCCATCATGACTCTGGTCTCTGGAATTCCAATGGGCCCACCCCGACTTCCACTGCAGAAAGCCACCAGGGAGTTTACTGATAATGCTGAAGCTAAACTGAAGAGCCTGGATTTCCTCTCTTTCACTGGTGTAAAAGACGGAAACTTGGAAGCCTGTAGCTAGTGCCTCTCTATCTAATCAGGATGTGTATTTTGAGACGTCATCCATCTTGAATAGTACATTCTTTTCTCAGGGACTTTTTAGATGAAGTTGAACTAAACTTTCTTGTAGCAAATGAAATCTCACATCAATCAGCAAATAAATATCTACTGTGAGAGTTGGGTGCATCAGGATGCACCCTCAATCCCAGCAATTTAGGGACGTGTGCCAGCCTCACAACTTGGTGAGACCTTGTCTCAAAATAAAATAAAAAGGGCTGTGGAGATAGTATAGTTATAGAGTGCCCCTGAGCACAATTCCCAGTACTCCCTACAACACAAAGAAAAAAAAAAAAAGAGATCATGGACCCTAAGTCATTTATATCACCGTTTTGGGTTTTTTTTTTTTTTTTGGTAGAGAAATCACTGTTTATATGGATGAAATGGAATCAAGGGAAATTTGTAATTGATTAATTTCATCTGCTCTTGGGAATTCCCATTAATTTCTGGTTCTCAATTCTATTTTAAAAATCTTCTAATTTTAAACCACTATAATGTACTTTCATTTTAATAAATATTCATTTGGAATCTAGGAAAACTCTCAGCTATTGCATTTAAAACAAAATTACAACATGACTCAACTATAAATATTAATAAACCAACTGGCTCACTTGGCTGCTTAGTCTAACTCTAAAAGCACTGTTTTCAGGTTAATTTTGATGTCATAGTTTTCTTCCAAAGCTTTGAGTCAGGAGAAGATTCACTCCAGTTCTTATTAACTGGAGAGCCCTTTAGGATGGTGCTGTGATATGGATGTAGTGTATCCCCCAAGGGTTCCTGTGGGGGAAACTTGGTCCCCAGGGTGGTGATGTGGGAGGGAATAGAACCTTTAAGAGGAGGGAGCTAGCAGGAGGTGTGGAAATCACTCTGGCTGCCTTGGAAGGGAATGCTGGTCTCCTGGGGTGAGTTCTTTCCAGAGTGAGTTGTTACAAAAGTTTAAGACTGAACTCTGAATGGCCAGTTGGCTTCCTCTCTGGCGATGTGATCTTTCCCTCTCAGGTGCACTTCTGCCACCATGATGCCATCTGCTGTGAGGCCAGAGCTGGGCAGAGCTGATGCCATACCCTTGAACTCCAGAACTGTGAGCTAAATTAACCCTTTCAGCTGGGAACAGTAGTGTGTGCCTGTAATCCTAGTGACTTGGGAGACTGAGGCAGAAGGATCACAAATTCAAGGCCAATTGCAGCAACTTAGAGAGCCAGTCTCTTAAAAACAAGGGAAACTGGGGATGTAGCTCCAGTAGTAAAGTGCTCCTGAGTTCAACCCCCAGTATCAATAAACAAGTCATTTTTTTTTAAAAGTCATTCAGCCTCAAGTATTTTGTTATAGTGATAAAAAAACTGACCTCCAACGAAGGTGAAGTAAAGTGATCCACCCACAGGGTTGGAGTGAATAGGCACTTCAAAAGCATCTGTTGCTGCTCTTTGGTTCTAAATATTTACTGTGCTGATTCTCACCCTTTGTGTGCCTTGTCATCATGCTTCAAAAAGTGAAGAAAATCAAGGATTTTGTGCTCACAGCTGGGTAAAAGGATACCAGATCTACTAAGAAAAAGATAGCCAGGTGTGGTGTCACACACCTATAATCCCACTGACTTGGGAGACTGAGGCAGGAAGATGGCAAGTTTAAGGACAGCCTAAGTAACTTGGTGAGACTCTGTCTCAAAAAATATTGAAAAACAGGGCTGGGAGCCAGGCGCAGTGGCGAATGCCAATAATCCTAGCAGCTCAGGAGGCTGAGGCAGGAGGATTAAGAGTACAAAGCCAGCCTCAGCATAGCAAGGCACTAAAACAACTCAGTGAGACCCTATCTCTAAATAAAATACAAAACAGGGCTGGGGATATGGCTCAGTGGTTGATGCCAGCGTTCAATCCCCCATGCTAAAAAGAAAAAAAGGGGGAGGGATTGGAATGTGACTCAGTGCTTAAGTGCCCCTAGGCTATAATAGGTAAATTTCAAAGCCACAAGAGAGACAGTCAAAGCACCAAGTGAACCCTCTCAGGTTCAATCCCTGGAAACCCCTCCCCCAACTATTAAGTGAAAGAAAAATGTCAAAAAGTTTGAAGCAGGGGCTGGGATTATGGCTCAGTGGTAGAGTGCTCTCCTAGCACATGCGAGGCCCCTTGGGGGCACCACATAAAAATAAATATATTGTATCCAACTGCAACTAAAAAATAAATATTAAAAAAATAGACATTGTGTCATGTCCATCTACACCTTAAAAAAAAAGTAAATATTAAAAAAAAAAAAGTTTGGGCTGGGGATGTGGCTCAAGCGGTAGCGTGCTCGCCTGGCATGCGTGCGGCCCGGGTTCGATCCTCAGCACCACATACAAACAAAGATGTTGTGTCTGCTGGAAACTAAAATAAATAAATAAATATTTAAAAAATAAATAAAATTAAAAAAAAAGTTTGATGCAGCCAATATCTTTTACCTTGATCATCACAAAGAGAAGGCAGAGGAACTGAAGCAGTCGGCTCCCAGGTTTGGCAATGAAGGAGCTGAAATGAACCACACAGGCTGATTTGAATTACATTAAACTTGTTAAGAAATACAGACTATTTTACTGACAGTGGCAAATACTCACAGGCCTTTTTTCTCATACCAAAGGAAAGGCCTTCCCAAAAGATGAATCCACGTCTCTGCTTCTTGCTATCCAGAGATCTGACAGAGCTGAAAGTGTCAAAGCACCAAAGGACTTTTGCTCTGGGGCAACACAAGTTCCCCTGTGCCACCAAGAAGACACAGTGCCCTAAATTATTGTCATGGCAAGCCAGGTTCCCTTCCATGGTGAGTCCAGCAGTGCTATTTCTCTGCCTATCACACTTCCCAACAGTCACTTTTCTTTAGCAATAGATTTGGGTAGGACTTAATATCTCAGCAGCCCTGCCAGGGCGAGCCGGTGTTTTTTTTGGGGGGGCTGGGGTTATAGCTCAGCGGTAGAGCGCTTGCCTCATACTTGTGAGGTACTAGGTTCGATCCTCAGCACTGCATAAAAAATAAATAAACAAATAAAGATATTATGTCCATCTTTTAATATCTCACTTTGACTTTTCCATACATCTTTTTTTTTTTTTTTTTTTTTTTTTTTTGGTGGCGGTGCTGGTGAAGCCAGAATTAGGCAGATAGGTTAGGGTGTGATCCAGAGAACAGAGGAATTGAAATGTTAATTCCTTCAGAGCCCTTCCTCCACCCTGTGCAGATAACCTGCCACTGCTCCCACCTGTAACCAGTCCCAGGAATTGCCCCTTCCTACAGGGAGTCATAAAATTGTTAATTAATGTGTGCTGGGCTGCTCCATCTGGCCCTTTCCCCCATCCGTCTGTTTCTCACTTTTTGGCCATCCCACTGAGCATCTCCTGGGCCTAGTCATGTAAGCAGGAAGGAGAGAGATGGGGGAAGAGAGCCGGGAAATAAGGAAGCCTAGGACTTATTAAAAAAAGGCGGGGGCTGGGGATGTGGCTCAAGTGGTAGCGCGCTCACCTGGCATGCGTGCGGCCCAGGTTCGATCCTCAGCACCACATACAAACAAAGATGTTGTGTCCGCCGAAAACTAAAAAATAAATATTAAAAATTCTCTCTCTCCCTCCCTCTCTCACTCTATCTTTTAAAAAAAAATAAGTTTAAAAAAAGGCAGAACCCCTCACTTCTTGGGATACCAGGATACCAGCTAAGGCCCCCATCTCCCTCCTGGAAGAAGTCTTATGTTACCCCTTTTTAAATAAACCCTGTTTTATATGCTTGCCTCAGCGTGCTTCTCTAATGTTATATTTCAACATATGAGGGAGCAGAACTAGTGACTGGTAACCAGCAGTATCAGTGGTACTAGGGATGGAACCCAGGGGTGCTCTACCACTGAGCAGCATCCTCAGTCCTTTATTGTCAGACAGGGTTTCATTACATTCCCAAGGCTGGCCTCAAATTTATAGTCCTCTTGCCTCAGCCTCCCAAGTCACTGAGATCACAGGCATATGCCACTCTACTGGGCACACTTTAGCATTTAAGTTAAACAACCAAAAGAAAAAAAAAATTTTTTTCTGAAATTTTTTTTCACACAACTAGTAAATATAATGGAATAGAATCCATACACCCACACACCGCATAGGGAAATTGTATTCAGTAGGACTAGTTATCTTTATCTGCTTATCAGCTACCAGAGTATTCAAGTTCATGCCAGATGAACCACCTGAGGATACTGTCCATCCTGGTTGACCTCTGGTATATTTTCTACACAGCAGCTAGAATGCCTTCTATTTATTTATTTGGTATTGGGGATTGAACTCAAGGTACTCAACCCCTGAGCCACATCTCCTGCCCTATTTTTAATTTTATTTAGCTTAGCGCCTTGCCATTGCTAAGGCTGGCTTTGAACTGGAAATTCTTCTGTCTCAGTCTCCCAAGCTACAGGGATTACAGGCCTGTGCCACCGCACCCAGGTAGAATGCTCTTTATAAATGTGAATGTCCTACATTTGAGCCATTTGTGGGCTGAGGCCCTTCAAGCACAGAGGCATTTTTAAATGTTAACTTTTGGTGTGAGGGACCAGCTTTGTCACATTTGCATCTGTAAGCATGTGACTAATTATCTCTGAGACCCTGGAAATGGCTTCCCATAAGCAGGGAAGTGTGTCAGCTTCTCTTCTCGGAACCTACATTTCAAGTCCAGTGTGCCCCATCTTTTGAAAATTGGGGAAGGTGTTAAAATTGCCACATACTTTTTTCTTGGGGTCCTTGGACCATGGTGAAACCAAATGATTTACTGTTAGTGCTTGAGTGAATGGGCACCTCTAAAGCACATCAGTCAATGAGAGCAGTAAATAATACTTGCAGGAGTATTACCAAAAGCGTGGTCCTTGTCCCTAATGCCAATCTAATAACGGAGGACAGGGTTTTGAGAAAAAGGAAAAAGGAAGTTTATTGCTTTGCTAGCAAAGGAGAAGCACAGGGGGACTCCTGTCCCAGAGGCTATGATTCTGCCCATCATCAGGAAGAGGGGGCTTTTTTTTTTTAATATATATATATTTTTTTATTTCTCGGCGGACACAACATCTTTGTATGTGGTGCTGAGGATCGAACCGGGCAGCACGCATGCCAGGCAAGCGCGCTACCGCTTGAGCCACATCCCCAGCCCCAAGAGGGGGCTTTTAAAAGAGGTGATTCAAAGGCTAAAACCCACATGTTCTCTGTCAGATTTGCAACTCACTAGTCATTTCTGAGATCTTCTGTGCCATCCCAAAAGTCTGAATTACTTTGTTCCAGTGGTGGGTGTGTGTTTTCAAGGATAGATAATTCTGCCTGGAATGGAGCCTTAGAGTAGGGAGGAGGAGAAATTAGGGAAAGGGGAAGAGAAAGAAACATGTCCTTACAAAAAAGTTGCAGTGACAGGGGAGCAAGAGCTATGTTCAAAGCATAAAGTGGACCACTGTTAAATTAAAGTGTCCCTGGGCTCAATCTCCAGTGCCACAAAAAAGGGGAGAGAGCAAAATTTAACAGTGATTATTACAACAGTTAGATACAAATTATTCCAGTACTCCAAAGAAAAAAGATATCTAATTTAAGAAAAAAAAAAAACTTACAGATTTTATTTACACATTAAACAAGAATTTATTGAGAAT